TCTCTCTCTCTCTCTCTCTCTCTCTCTCTCTCTCTCTCTCTCTCTCTCTCTCTCTACGAGGACCATGTATCTTGGATTCCTACGTAGGTAGTAGTTTGGAAACGACGAGGGCGACTACAATGACAATAACTCTCGAGTCAAGAGTTGAGAGTCGTCACGCTGATCCCATATTGTTCCTTCCGTGTCGATGGTGTTACGGACGCCTCTCTAGCTTTCAGGATGATACACGAGTTATGTCGCAGGCATTGCTATTACAATTACAGGTATTACAAAGTTTAGAGGAATTGTCTCTTTAAATTCACGGCAATCTATTTGACGCTATGGGCTTCGGTCGAAGGTTGAATTATACGGGGATGATACTGACCGATGGTCATAAAGCGAGAGAGTGGGTAGAAAAGGTAGAAATAGGGAAAGTAGGCGAGAGAGATGGAAGAAGCAGAGATCATTTGTAGATCGCGGCAGAGTAGTATTCACGAGTGTTAATAGGGTTTTGAGAATTGGAGCAGCGTGCCAATTGAATGGATGAAGAGAATCGAAATTCTATGATTCGTGTCGCATCGACTGGTAGGATCGTTCGAGTCCTCCGAGAGAGAGAGAGAGAGAGAGAGAGAGAGAGAGAGAGAGTTTTGCTCTCAACAGAGCAAAATAACGTAGACTGCTACTATTCTAGTGGGTCTAGTGGTTCTAGCGATGACGCAAGTGGCTACCGTAGCAGAATAAGAGGCGGGACACTCACCGTTCGATTTCCCAAGTTCTTGACTTTGCAGACGAGATGCACAGTTTTACCGACGAGGCCAGTAAAGTTCGAGGGCATCGAGGTGTCGAAGTGAGGTCCGGTACCCGGCGTCGGCCATTCCTCAAGAAAGTCCGTACGGAAGTTTCGCAGGCAATTCACGATGCCAGCTAAAATTTATAAATCGCACAAAATTTCAGTGCCGTTCGAACTTTATTCCTGGATTAGCTTAAAACGAAAGTATTTCATTAAACAGAGACTGTTCTTTCGCGCGTTTCAAGTGAAAATCAAATTTTGATAAATTTGGGGATCCGTGGAGCCTGATCCATGGACGATCTTACGTCGAAGTGAACTCTGCGCTCGATGGCAGAGTATTAGAGTCGGAGAATGGGGTAGCTGCTTCGTAAAAATTCTTTAAGTTTCATTTGGCTCTCGGAATCAGTCACAGCAGTCGTTGCCTCGTGATTGTCACGAGAGCGCCAGTACCATGGGAATGCTTTTGCTTTTGACAGTGAGGAATAGTTGCGGATGGAGGCAGGTCGCGCTGCGTTACACGTATTGTTGCTGCCTGCTGCTCGCTGTTACCCACCGTTGCTAGTCGCACACACAGTAGGCAACTTGCGCTTCGAGGTATCGCAACCAGTCTCGCGTTACTGTATAGCCGACTAGCCGACTAGCCGACTAGCCGACCAACCCAGCAGGCTCGTCCTTCGATTCAGTTAATCTTTATCGGTCGATGCTTTTCGTACATTTCATCGTCTTTCTTTCGCTCTTTCGTTCCCTGGTCGCGACTAAATGTACGACAATTTAGACTTTGAACATTTCGTCTCGCTATAGATAAGGATAACGCAAGTAGGACGGTTGGATTCTTTTAATTGGATGTGAAGACGAAAGATGCAAGAGCTGGAGAGATGAGAGGATACGAAGAGAGAAAGTGGCAGTGGGGGAGAAGGAAATAACAAATTGTATGTGGCGTGAAGAAGGGAAGAGAAAAAATACGATCTTAAATTCTCTAACCCCGTCAGCTTTTTTTTTAAACTCATAATACTGCCCTTTTGTGAGCTTTTTTGTGCAGTAATGCACGACTGTAGAGATTCGCGCATAAATAAAACATTTTGAGCTTTTCGTAGCAACGCTGTAAAAGAGACGCGCCTGTCAAGCTCGTGCGCAAAGTCAAAGAGAAAGAAATAGGCAGACAGAATGTAACTTTCCTAAGATTACGAGTGAGGTGCGACTCGTATGCTAGCTGCAGCCCGAAAGGATCTTACGGATCCACTATATGTTAAAGTTTTTATTTCAAGCGCAGGCAAGACCGCCAACTATACTAGACTTGAACACTTGAAGGAATAGACTGAAAAAATGCAGTTTCTTCAAGCTCGTTAGCCTAACGCAAATTCCTGGGTAACATGAGTAATGTAAGTATAGGAATATCATATGCATAGGTATAAAGTTGAAAACTTACCAAAGGAAAATAGAAAAAAGACGAGCATGGGAAGAAAGGTAGACATCGCTTCTCCCGGCTTTCCTGCTATTTTTACATATTTCATATTATTTTATACACATCTCAATCGATTAGTTTGGACGGAGTACAGTTCATTGATACTATCATCGTCAGCGTTTTTAAGCAGCCAAGTCTAGCAGTTTCACCGAAAACTACACCTCTCGAACTTGACTGTATCACGTATCTCCCATCGCGCTTCGAGATCCTTAATATTTTCTAGCTGCAAAAGGTTTGTTTTCACGTTCACTAATTTATTTAGAAACTTTATCATCCGATAATATTGTTCGTAAGCTGCACGCTAGAAGCTAAATTTCCAATGATCTCGTTGATGAGCTTAAAATCGCGGCACGCAATATATTCATTCGCAGATTCATTATCTTCACTTGTACTTTTTCTGACAAACTTGGCTAATTTAATTATTACCTTAATTAATTCTTCGCGAAATCAGTTGCTCATTGGGCCAATGTAGTATCACTTTTTAGTAATTGACAGAGAATGCTTCCGCCGTCAATTGGAAACTGCTCGAAACTGTAGTTATTGGCATCGTTCGTCACAATTAAAATTTCATATCGTTTATGAGATAATGCACGATAAGCACATTGGTTACCGTTGGTCAATTAGAGCCTTGGAAACATGAATCTCCAGTAGAATAACATCTTGCGTAAGTCACTGCAGGAAGAGCAGTAGAATAGAGGGGGGGGGGGGGGGTTTT